ATTATATATATATATATATATATATATATATATATATATATATATATATATTATATATTATGTACAAAAATTATATAAATTTATGCACTTTTCGATTTTCAAATGTAAATAATTTCTGGCGTTAAAAATGATAGTACCCGAATTAAAAATCTTTGACTCGTCTTATTATAAAAGTTCGTACCTATCTTTAACTGAAGAATTTATTATCTTTGTACACGTCTTATATGTCAACATCTGTAAGCATCCTAAATAAAGATAGAACCAAAAGGGATAATCACATCCTTTAGAAAAGAATTAATTAAATCCTCTCCTAATCTCCTATAATAGGGGAGAAGTATATATTATTATCTTATTAGTCCTTGTCAGGCTCCATAGATTACTAAATCTACCTTTGTAATCAGTGAATTAACAATGTCTTAATTTATTGTTATTTAATGGATTTGGAAATTTTATTTTATGGCTCTATCATAGAGGATACACCTGTGCACTTATACTTTATATAAACAAAGGAGAAAATTACAAAAAGAGCATACACCTGTGCATCTGTTTACCTAGAAAATCACTTTTTCAAAATTTAAGAATTTTTAGTCTTTATGTTTACATAGTGATTTGTGCTTAAGTAAGCTAATCTAACCACTCTAACCATAAAAATGAAATTATTTTACCATAAAATATTATGGTGGGATGGTTAGAATCAGATGACGTGGATTATAACACACGAAAATCTGAGAATCGGGCGAAATTCTAATTTTATGGCTGTAAAACGACAAAAAATGAGTAAGGGTCATAGCGAAGCAATGGCTATTGTTCCTTAGGTCGTTTTTGATTTCATGTTCAAGTCTTGAAAATGGAATTTTTTTTTAGTAGCAAACGTTTTCTCCGTTAATATGCCTTACATAACGCATTATCCGATCAAGTAATCAAGGTGCGTTAAGTTGACCCAAATAATATCGCTATCAAGAAAATAAAATTGAAATGCATTTGTTATTTCAAATCTAATAGACTATTTTTTTTACCCCAAGCATCAAATTAAAATTAAAGACTTCTTTTTAGGTTAATTTTGTAAGTTGAGCTTTTAGACAACATTAAAGAATAATGGTACATGCCATAATATTATAAAAATATTTTGGAAGCTTAGGAAATGTTTTTCTTATTCCACTTGCCTCTTTTTAGAATTAAGACAATAATAGAGATATTATTATTATTAAAAACAGTCTCTTGCAGAAATGTAGGATAATGACCGACCCTTCCTCGAACCCCGCGTATAGCAGGAGCTTAGTGCACTAGACTGCCCTTTTTTACAATAATAGAGATATTGAAAGCTTTCAACATTAATTCTATCACGTAAATTAACTTCTTTCATGCATGCGATTTTTTTTTTTGTCCAAAAAATTGGGTGACTTATCATATAGAATTGACATCTTAGTAAATGATGTCTTAGAGTTTATCATCTAGAGTTGCATAAATTAAAATTTCAAAGACCCATTATTTACTACTTTATTCATTAAATCCGTTAAAACATTAGTTAAAAACATTCATGAATTTTGTACATAAAACCTACTATTCAAGTACGTCAAGAAACACCATGATTAATAAATTTGCCACTTAAGATTATTGCTAATTATGAGACAACTGAATACTTTAACTGATTTTCCTTACCTTTCTTTTTCTAAAAAAGGTAAAGAAAATATTCTTGTTTTCTAAAGTAGTCCTACTATTTTGAGTAAAATGTTTCCACAGTTTCTTCAACTTCAATCAACCACAGACTTTCCATAATTACAAAGATGGACTTCTTTCTTTTGTTGCCAAGTCAACTGTGGTCCAAAAATTAAGTGTATGGACAAAGTATCAATTAAATCATGAATCTATCATATCCATATATAGATAGAAAGCAAAAATATTCTTAGCTGCTTTCCCCTCTCCTCTCCGGAAGTAATCTTTTAATCTATTTCAGCTCCTGTAGTGAAGTTCTGTTATAAAAAATAGATATTATAACTTAATGTAAAATATTGATTTCGAAAGAGAGCTTTGGAGCAACGGTAAAGTTGTCTTTGTGTGACCTACAAGTAGGGGTGGCAAACGAGCGGGGGCGGATATGGGACGGCTGAAAAGGGTAACGAAAAGACGGATAAATTATCCAACACGATCCATATTTAACACGGATAAAAAAGGGTTAACCGGCGGATAATATTGAGTAACCATATTATCATGGCTTCATGAATATGACTACTTTTAGAGAATTCCTAGTCTCCCAAACTTGAGAGAACATCCAATTTGTGGTTTTACAAATGTAAAATTAAACCCATTAGTTTTCCATTGGTTATCCATATCCTAAATGGATAATATGTTCTTATTATATTGACCCGTTTTCAAAAAGTTCATTATCCTATCCATTTTTAGTGGATAATATCGATGGTTAACTGTTTTCTTTTACCATTTTGCCACCCTACCTATAGGTCACAGGTTCAAGTCGTGGAAGCAGGCATTAATACTTGCATTACGTTAAGCTGTCTACATCATATCCCTTAGGATGCCGGCCTTTCCCGACCCTGCCATGAACGTGAGATGCCTTGTGCATCGGACTATTTTTTTTTTAAATGTGAAATCATAATTTAAAAAAAAAAAAAATGGTTGTTATAGTAAAACGTTGTACAAAGGATGATTATTATTTAATAGTTTAAAAAGGTAAAGAATTTGATTCATATGCTTGTTTCCTTCCTGCATAAGATCTCTCTCTT